GCGCGCCGAGGCAGCAATTACGCTTTGGGGATAAAACGAGGCGCAGAGAGCCGGCTGGGGCATTTCTCCCCGAGATGGCGGGTCTGGGATCTGCAGCCCGGCGGCCCGGAGTCCTTCTGCTCCTGCTGTGTATCGCCCACCCCTCGCAGCCTGGAGGTAGGCCTCACCCTGCTCCCGGGGATGCCCGCAGCCTGAGGGCCTCCCGGCCAGGTGGCTGGACTGACTGGCCAGAGGGCGCCCTTCACCCGGCCGTGCTCCGGGGGGTCCCAGGCGGGAGCCCCTCAGCCACTGGATCCTTGGAACTGCCCCTCCCGGGAGCCAGCCCGTGCTGAGGAGGAACCTGTCACACAGCCACCCCGAGACTCAGGACGGTCCCGACCGGGTCCCGGTTCTGCTGCCCCCAACAGGACCGAGGACTCCTGCTCTGTCCCGGGCGCTGTCCCAGTGGGGGGCTCCCGAGCATGCTGGGGACGGGCCGGTGGGGTCCGGTTGGGTCGTTGGGCACTAGCAGTTTGCACACCTGTGGACCCGATGGGTGTGCACACGTGCCCTGGGGGCAGGGGACCTGGGCTGGAGGCCAGCTCCACCGCGGTGAGCTGTGTGACCTCAACAGGTTCCTTGTCCCCCGGGGAAGTCAGGACACCCCTCTGAGGAAGGTCAGGGTTAAGTGGCTTACGGGGTTGTGGGTTGGAAAGCCGCTGCTGTGGTCTGTCCGTGGTGAGGAGGACTGGGGCATCCGAGCATGTGTGTGAGCGTGTAAGTGTGTGTGTGTGTGTTGGGGTGCGGAGTTGTAAGGTGGGTGGAAATGCTGTGAGCACGTGCAAAAGTCTGCCACCCGACAGGCATGCACACTGGGAAATATGCACTCCAGGTGTGGATTGTCACTGTGTGTGTGCGCGTGTGTGCGTGTGCGCGCTGTACGGAACACAAATGAGGATCAGGGAACCCGGGGAAGGTAAAATCTCCTGGCAGAGAGAGGGTGGCCAGGGCCAGAGGCTAAAGTGGACCTCGGGGCAGTCCTGGACCGTTGGGCATGTCCTCTGCCACAGGCCATAGGGTGCCCCCGCCGTGGGGCTGCTACGCGCCTCAAGGGCCCCTGGAAGTGGCCTCCCCGGGGCCCCCGAAAGGTGCTCCTGGCCATGGGAAGAGAGGAGTGCAGATACTTGAGCCGTCTGGTGGGGTAGCCTGCGTGGGGGTCAGCTTTCTGGGGGCGTCCCCTTGCCGTAAGAACCAGACCTTCAGTGGGGGCCAGTGCGGGGGGCGGGGGCCAGGTGGGAGCAGGGCCAGGCCGGAGGGCTGGAGTACGGGGCTGGGCAGCAGTAACAGTTTCCATGTGACTGACTAGCTGGGCAGCGCTGCTGGGAGCAGAGGGTTCCTGCACGGAGGTCAGCTCCTGGACCTGGAGGAGGGGCAGGGGGACTCGTGCACCATCAGGTGGGGCCCAGCAGGGGGAGCGAGACAAACCCCCAGGACCGGGCCACCCCAGCGTGCCCCCCCCCGCCAGAGCAGCAGCTCTGGGCCCTCCTGAACCTCCTCCCCGCTCCCCCGGGTGTGGCCCCTGAGCACCTGCCTCCCCAGACAGCGCTTCTACCCGGAGCGTGGCAATTAACCCCCTCAAAAACCCTAAGAGAACATTATCCTCTTTTGCAAATAGGGAAATGGAGGCTGAGACAGGGTAAGGCAGCCTCAGGGGGGCTGAGCACCAGCCAGTTCTCTGCCAAAGGATGAGGGGTGGGGGGCCGGGTACCAGGCTACCTCTGGGGAGGAGCATGCCCAGGGATGAGTCCTCCAGAGAGGGCACACCCTCAAGCAGAAGGCACCCTCTCCTTGTGCTCTCGGTGACACTGCGAACCCTCAACTGTCCTTGTTCTTCTTTTGCAAACATAAATCTCAGCTCGGTCCCAGATGATAGAGCAACTGGGTCCCAGTAAGGGCTGTGTGAATCCATGACATCTGTTGGGGTTTTTGCCCAGAGCCTCCGAGAGAGGTCGGGGGGAGGTAATGGGAGGGGTCATATGCCTACACACACGGAGCCACCCCCCAGCTCTCCTGGGGAGCCCAGCTTCTGCCCCCCACCCCACCCTCTGCCAAGAGGACATCACCCCCATGGGTTCCCCAGCTCCAAAGAACTATATTGCCAGTGGAGGGGGCTCCCTAGGAAGACTGTGATGGAAAGGGTTATCTAAACCCACTTAGGATGGGTCCAAAGTAGCTTTGAGGACCCGCCGCCCCAAACCCCCACGCCATTTAAAAAGAGAGAGAAAAAACAATTAAATCGGGTAGAATTCCGTCCCCCGTGCCCCAGAAATATTATCAGCCTTTTCTTTTCCTGATTCCGGAACTAAGGATAATTTGGAACAGGGCTTGTCAACCCTGGCTGCATATTGGAGTTAACTCGGGAACTTGAAACGGCTCTGATACCAGGGTCCCACCCAAGAATTCCTGCTTTCTTTGGTCTGAGGAGGGAACTGGATTGTGGAGGTTTTGTAAATGCCGCCCAGGTCACTCCGATGAGCCTCCAGGGTGGAGGACCTGTGGTCGAAGGGCTAATCCCTCTCTCTGCATTTGCTGGGGCTGAGGCAGGAGGGCAGACATGCCCAGGGGAGGGAGGGGACAGAGTCACCCACTAGAGGACAGATTGTTTTTGAAAAGCCCTTGGCAGCCTTTCTCCAGGCAAACAATAAACAGCTTCGTAAGGTCTTATCTGCTCCCTTGCCAGCCCCCTGGACTGGGGCTTGGCAAAGCCCCTTGCCAAGGCCTGCTGGCCCAATGCTCATTCCCTAACAGCCTTCTCCACATCTTTGAACCTGAAGCCCAGGGCCCAGGCAGAAGGCCCTGCATGTGACTGGGGTCAGCTGTGGGTCCGGGCCAGATGCCCCGTCTCACTGGCCATCAAATGAGGAGAAACATCCCTGCCCTATTTATCTCCTAGGCCCAGTGGGAGGCTCCCGCCGCGTAACATCTGCCAAAGTCACATCAAATAAGGGGACTGTGGGAATGTGAATTCCTGAAACGATTCATCTTCTTATTCAGAATGTGTTTACTTGGACCGATTGACTCTTATAATTAGAGCACATTTTTAAGGTTTAACTTTCCCTCTTGCTACTCACGCCATGTTTTGTCTGCTGGGTGGAGCACGCATGAGTGATGGAGGAAGCAGATACGACTGGGGGCCCTGGCGGCAGGGGTGGGGGTGGGTGGGGAAGGGCCGGGAAGAGTCCCGGGAAATCCAGGAAGGCTTCATAGCAGAAGCGACATTTGAGTTAGACCTTGAAAGAAAAGGCAATGCCTGAGAGGCCGTCTGTGGATGAGAGATGAGCCTGGGGCTCTGGGGCTCTGTGAGGCGGAACTGGAGAGACGGAAGGGCAGATTCTATCTCAGCAGAAAGAGGTAGAGCCGACAGCATCGGGAGGGGGTGACTTTCCTGTCACCGGAGGCATGCAAGCCGGAGCACAGGGGGATGTTTGCAGAAGGAGTTTCTGCCCACGCCAGAAGACTGTTATGATCTCTGAGAGTCTAGGATCAGGATTCTAAGAGGCAAGAGACAAGTTCCACCCTGGGCTAGCCTGCAAAACAAGCCAAACCCACATAAAACAAGACAAGCATGCTCCAAGCCAACTCCTTTGGACGAGCTGAGCAGTGAGAACCACAGGCTCAGAGAAGGCAGGAGGGGGAGAATTTGAGCTCAGTCTTGGAGGAAGGACAGGACTTGGGTAGCAGAGAGGCGCTCCTGGCAGGAGGCACGGCTCCGACCAAGGTGAGGAGGAGGATGACCAGCTGGAGCATGAAATCTGCCTTTCTGAAGGCCCTTGACCGACTACTGTCTTAATCTGTTCTCACCTCTCCGGCACTTGGCGAGAGGAGGCAGGGCCGGGATCCTTTGCATCCCCTGATCCTTCTCCCTTAGCTCAGTGCAAAATGGCGGTCAAAATCTCTAGCTCCCCAGGCCATCATGGTTTGGGCACGGAGTTTGGCAATCGCTGTTGGGATCTGAATCATGGGGGGGTGTGGGGACAGCTGGGGCAGGCCAGGAGGGCTGCAGAGAGATGGGCAGGTGCTGGGGAGAGAGCAGGCAGGACCCCAGATGAGGTGCAGGGGAGCAGAACCTCAACAGAGGAAGTAGGGGTTCAGCCGGGCCCAAGGTGGGGAGCCCCCCAGGCTGGTTGGGGATAGAACAGGTTGGACCCAGACCCACAGGCAACATCCTTGTCTCCCTTCAACCTCATTCCCCTGTGGTTTATTGACTATCTACTGGGTACCTGGCCCCAGGCCACGCATGCGCAGTGAAGTGTAGACAGAGTCACCTCTTTTTTTTTTGAGCAATCACTGGATGCTAGATTCAGGGCAGGACCCTTTGACAGTTTGCAACAGCCTTGCAAGGCAGAGGTTATCAGTCCCGCATCGCTTACAAGGAAACTGCAGCTTGGAGGGGCTAAGTGACTTGCCCAAGTTCACGCAGATGCCAAGAAGTGGCACGGCCAGGATTAGAGGCCAGGCGGGTCTGTCCTGAGCAGCCTGCCCCGGAGCCAGAGAGCAGAGAGGTGGGGAGAGGGGACTGTCGGGAGGGAAAGAAAGGGGAGGAGGATGAGAGCTGAAGCAGAGAAACACCCGGACTAAACGGGGAAAGGCACAGAAGAGACAGCGCTCAGAGCCGGAGGCCGGGGCCAAGGGAGGCATCAAAAACCCAAGGCAGGCTGTGTGCGTGCTTGGCAGCCGGTGACAGGGCCCAGGCGCTCCTTCCCAGCAGGCCCAACCTCCTGGGGCCACCACTCTGCGTCCCCGAGGCTCTGACCTGATTGCTTGCACACTCCAGGTCTGGATGACAGGCCCTGGGGTGGGGGGGTGGGGGGGGCCTCCAGGCCCTGGGGGGCTGTGGCGCCGGGGCTTTGGCATGGGGTAGCCGTGACAGCTTGGCATTCCCCACCCCGCTGGGCTGTTGCTCAGGCTGACGGGGCCACAGTGGCCAGACATCTGCCATGAGGCCTCCAGACACACCGCAGAGCTGCCCGACCCTGTCCCCCAACCCCACCTGCGCCCCTGTCAGCGGGGTGGTCCCGGGGCCCTGGCCGGAGCCCTGGCAAGGCCACTCGTCAAGGCTGGGGCCGCTCTGTGGTGGCGGAGTCGGGGCCTGGGCCGCCCCGGGATCGTCTGTTGCCATGATCACGGCAGGCCCGGTGCGGGGCCCGGCCGCTCGGCGTTTCCCAGGGAGGGCTTCGCGGGTCCGTGGGGAATGAACTCGTGATCTCGGCCGGGCAGACAGCCCCTGGCCTGGCCAGTGAATTAGCTTTTCCTTAGGAAACTATTCACTTTGCTCATTCATGGTGTCCCCCTCTGGGCCCCGGCACCTCCCAAGACAGCCCTGTGTCAGGCGGCCAGAACCCCACCCAACCGTGGCTGCCCGGCGGCTGAGGACGCTGACCTCACGCCATCGTATCAGTGTGGGGCTGGCCGGCTTAGTGCTGCGATGGCCACACTCCCTTACTGCTCGCGGTCCCAGCCCAGGCTGCCCGCCCCCAGCTCCGGCCCCTGCTCGTGCTGCCCAGGGCTGGGTAGCGTTGGCTGCCCAGACGAAGGGACCCAGCCGCAGCCCCACACCGGGCCCTCTCCGCGGGGAGAGGAGCAGGTAACACCGTGCCAACCATCCCGCTCAGAGGGGTGGCCTGGGTTTGAATCCAGACTCCATCTCTTTCCAGCTGTGTGTCCCTGGGCACCCGTCTTAACCTCTCTGAGCCCGATTTCACATCTGTTAAAACGAAGATAGTCACCTCTGCCCTTCCAACCTCATAGGGCCATTATTATGGTCACCGCGCTTTTACTAGTTCTAGTACTTACTTACTTCCAGGGGTCCCGGGGGCTGTTCCTGGTGGAGTTCCCGGAGGCGTCTATTACCCAGGTAATGTACGTGAAACTTCCACACACCCAGGTGAGGCAGAGCGTGATCGGTTCGTAAGAGATGCGCCCCATGACAGCGCAGACTGGAAGAACATTGGCGCGCCCCCCAAGCAGACCCGCGAGCCGCTCCTACTTAAAGGCAGTCTGCGTGACACTTTTACAAGTACTCAGAGCATGCATTTTCTGAAAGATGAAAGACAGTGTTTGTTTGCCAGGCTGTACGGAAGTGGGCGCCATCATGCCCCCCCTGCCTCTCAAACCATGAACCCCACTCTTGGGAATCCATTCAAAGAAAATAATTGAAAGGTAGAGAAAAAGAGAGATCCTGAACAAAGTTTATCGGGGGGTTATTTGCAAAGACATAAAACAAAAAAGCCCACCTGACTGGAGGGTGTGATTGAGTCGACCCTGACATAATACACAGCTACTAAAAAATAGGAGTGTGCAACCTGCCCAACCGGACGGCAGAGTGCTTTTCCGGGTGCTAACAATGTAAAAGCAACGACCGCGTGCGGCTAGAGACTGGGAACACCCCCGAAAGATAAGGGGCAGAATATTGCAGCTCTGGCATGGGGGGAGGGCACATTTTCTTTTACTATGAAAAAAAAAAGCATCATGCTTTAAAGCAGATTGAAAAATCAAATGCAGCACTTTCAATACTTAGAAAGTATTGGAAAGGCGTTTCCAGAGAGGTGGACACCTGAATGTGCAGGAAGAGGCACCAGAGAGGGCGTGGAAGCCCCGCCCCTTTTCCCAAACCTTGCCCCACCCCCCCCACCCCCCGCGCCTCTTTCCTCTGGCCATTCCTGAGTTACATCCTTTTATAATAAAGTGATGATCTAATAAGAAAAAAGAAAGAAAAAAGCATTTGAGGGTTCAGGCCCGATATGAAATGGAGGGCAGCTGCCGACACACTCCCAGACACAAAGTGGCACTGGCCTGTTGGCCCAATGGGGAAACTGAGGCTCACAGAGGTTAAGGCTCACCCAAGGTCATGCAGCTAGGCAGTGAGGGACTTGACCGTGGGTCCATGGGCAGCTTTCTGGCAGAGACATTGATGGTTCTGTCTCTTTCTCTCTCTCTCAACACAGGTGCTGGTCTCGGAGGTCTGGGAGGAGGAGGTGAGCTCAGAAACCAAACTTGGTTCCTCACGGATGGGGTCTGGCTGTCACTCTGGTCCACCCAGGTCCCCCGGCCTCAGAACCCCCAGAAGGCCTAGACATCCCTCAGTTTACAGACAGAGCTTCCAGTTGGGAGAGACTTGCCGGAACCTACTGGCCTCCCAAGCCCCTCCCCTGGCCTCTTTCCCTGGTGGCCCCTGCCTCCTTTCCCGTGGCTTTTGATCCTCCACAACACCCCTGCAAGGCCCGCTGAGTGGGTATCGTTTTCCCTTCTGGGGCTGAGAAACTGAATCTGAGAGAGTAGAAACCATAAATCAGGGCTGGAGCTAGGCTTCCCACCCACACATCCAGACACTGGGCTCCCAGCAGTTCCCTGTCCAAAGGGGAGGACCATCCCTATCAGCCCTTCTAGGACCTGGGGAGTGAGACACGCCCCCCCACACCGCCCCAGGGAGATAAACAGTAGAAAAATCATGGTTTGGGGCTCCTCATTCACTCCCACCTCTTTTCTCTGCAGCTCTGGGGCCTGGAGGCAAACCGCCCAAGCCAGGTAAGACCTGAGGCCCCAGGGGCAGGGGAGGGCAGGGCCCACAGACTTGTGAACCGTCTCAGAAACAGCCCCGATGCTG